GTACAAACTGGACATGCCTTGACCAAATTCCTCTCCATATTAGGTCAATTTTGATTCAAATCACTGGTTAAGAATCTATAATTCATTCATTTCAGTTTTACATCGAAATAAACTTCTGATGTTTGACTTAACTTTAATATGTATTTACAACTCAGATTACTATTTCTAACAGGATTAGTTTTGCTCTAAACCCAGAAAATGAAAGGATCACATTATTTCTCTATAAAAGCAAGCAAAAATTGGTACTGGTGAAATCACATTTAGATATCTACAAATTTTTGAGGTATTTTTGCTTTCTTCAAAATCACTACTCATTTAAATAATTTGAAAACTTATATTGCATTTCTACATCCTTGGTGTTTTTCTTCACTGACACAGAAATATACTAACTCTATCCATGTATATGTATATTTAATACTACAGACTTTGGATTCAAAGCGATCCAGATTCAAGTCATATCCCTGTCATTTCCAGACAAGTAACTTTGGGCAAAGAACTTATCACTGAAAAGCCTCAGTTTGTGAGTCTGTAGAATGGGAGACTGAGGCAGAAATCACATCTACCTCATTAAGTTGTTAGCGACTACATGAGATACAGTTCGCAAAGTGTCTGATGCAACCCCTGTCACATATCATATGTTTCATATTGTAATATGTTTTTTAACAGTTATAAGCCCTTTACCATGGGACCCACCACCCTCATTTTCCTCTGTGCCCACACTTCTCACTACCCCCTGCCACTCAGTTTTGGTCAAGAAGCACTGATCTGCTGATAATCTTCCCCTTTGTCCCCACCCCACCACACACCACACACACACACCTTTTCAACTCTGACCTTGTTCCAGCTACCATTTCTCACTAGTTCCTTCTTTACAGCTCAGCATTGTGGCCACCTCATCATGGCAACATACTGGGCACACACTGAATCCCAAGGTAAGATGCCCTTCTAGGATGCTCTCATAGTAACTAACCTCTGTCTCACTCTACACTGAGTTTAAAATTGCACATTCATAGACCTGCTCTGAAACTAGGTCTCTTGAAAGCAGGGATTATGCCTCACTCATCTGTGTATGCCTAACACAGAAAATGGCGTGTTTTGGGACTTAATAATCCTGTTTTGTGTCTGAAACAAAAATGAATGACTTCTTCCTTGCACATCTAAGGTAGTATGTTAGGTATTACTAAACAATGAGTTAACTTTTATTGAGCTAGTACTTCATATAAATTACTTTATCTATGTCCAAAATTTTATGAGTAGATACTATGGTGATCCCCTTTGTAAGGGAAGAATTTCAAGCAGGCAAGTAACATGCCTAAGGTTAGGGAGTTCCAACAAGGCAGAGCTGGTTTCTACTCAGGCACCACTACACGATGAAAAGAGATATGATTTTTTAAAATAAAGAAAAAGCACTGATGGATCTCTCGACTCTTAACAACTTAATATCTGAGAAATTGCACTTTGCTAGGTTTAATCCGAATTGTGGTGTCTTCCCAAAGAGTTAGAACTCTGAACTCTCTGGCCAGATTTTGTAAAGCCTGGCCATCAGGAAGATCTAGTAGAAAAGGTGAACGTTTCCTTACCAAGTGCCCACTACAACTGATGGCCTGAAATCCTCACTTAGAACTTGTGATTCTTATTTTGTGGAAGTGTCTGCAACTCAACAAGAAAAACTCTTTGAAAAAACTCTGACCTGCATATCCAACTCTCTACTTCACATGCACACTTTAATTCTGATAGACAGATATCACATGTCCAAAACTAACATCTTAGTATTTACCAACACCACCCCCACACCTAGCCAGCTCCTTCTGAAGCCTCCCCCATCTCAGTCAGTGGAGACTTCATTCTTTTGGTTGTTGGGTCAGTGGCATCCTTGAGTCCTCTATTTCTTATCATCACTATCTATTCTGTGAGATAATCCCATTGGCAATACCAGATGAGCATATATACATCCAGAATTACACAGCTTTTCATAACCTCCCCTGCTACCATCTCAACCCAAGCAACCATCACCCCTGGCTTGGATTACTGCAATCACCTCCCAGCTGAGATTCTTGCTTTTGACCTTGATCCCAACAGTCTATTCTCCACACAGCAGCTGGAGTGACCCTGCTATAAATTAAGTCAGATGTGTCACTTCAGTGCTCAAATCCTCAATAGTTCCCATAGGTTTAGCAAAGCCAGCACCCTCAAGTCCTCATCAAGACTTATAAGACTTTTCTGATCTGGCTGCCACCCCCATCTTGCTGGCACCTTGCTGACCTCACGTCATGACTTTGCCCTCATTCTCTCTGATCCACCCCTCGTCGCCTTGCTGTTCTGCAAACATATCAGAAACACCCCCACTTACGAGCCCTTAAACTTGCTGTTCTTTCTGCTCAGAATACTCTTTCCCCAGATATCCATAGGGCCAGCTTGCTCACCTACTTTGTGACTGACTCAAAAGTCACTTTCTAATTAGAGCCTTCCCTGGCCACCCTATCTAAAGTATTTATTTCTTCTCCATCTGAAATGAGGCCAGGGATTGTGGTTGATATTGTATTCTTAGGGTCTAAATCAGTCACAGTATATAAGAAGTGCTTAATAAATAATTATTGAGTGGATGAATGAATTAGTGAAAGTTACTACCTATCCTGTATTCCCACTTCCTAGTTATCAGTGACAAATATCCAAAACCATAACCCTGCAAATCTAAAAGCTATTTTTCAGTCTTGACTTAACTGTGCTCTTTCAACTAGCAAACCAGTTGGCTCCAGACTTTATGATGCCTGGAACGATATCAAGCACACAGAATCAGGCATGAAGTCTGAAAGCTCCAATATTCCTGATCTCTCAAAACATCACAGTCTGTCTTCCATACCCTTCCTGAGCCATATTTTGCTAATTTCTAAATGGGACATATGATCTTATGCAACCCAAGTGTTTATGCAGAGTTACAGAATTAATTTTAAACTAAAAAAATCACTAGCAGCAATTTGCATAAAATCTTTAAATGAATAAACAATCTTTAAATGAATATTTAAATGCTCGCATTTTTAAATAAACTAATTCAAATATTAAAAGTGTCCACCGTAGGTCTAAAATTAAGAATCTTCACTGGCACACTGAATTTTATTTTTTCTCACCAGGTAGCAAAAATGAGATATGGCCAGAGAACATGAGGAACAGATGGAAATGTGGATGGAAATGAAGGCACATGGGATTGTGCTGATGAACTGAAGTTCTCTTCTTTTTGGACAAAGAAACCTCCTTCCCCCTAGCCAACACCCGCCTCCACCCACACTCTGAAACATTCACTCCAGACATTAGAGCACAAGCACTTTTCACAGTGTATTTACTTTTAAAACTACTTTCTAGAGCTGCTGGGCTTTTTCAGCACCATTTCCACTTCCCAACCTCTCCACCAGACCCAATACATGCAGCCATGTGGCCACACTCACTATTTTTACTGAAACATTATGGTGGAACCCTCACAAGTCTATCACATATAACCCAGAGGAGAAAGAACTGGAAGTGAAGACTTCTGATTTCTTTTGCTAGGTAAGTGCAGGAAATGAAGAGGCCTTTAGTAAGTCACCTGCACTCCCTGGGTCTCAGTTTCCTCTTCTCTGTAGTGGCTGGGGTGGCTTAGAAGGGTGTCACGGGGCTTTAGTTTCCCATAGACTCCACCAGTTTCCCCTTCCGCCCAACATGATCTAGCAACTTATTTTACAAACTTGCATAAAAAAGTTTCTGTACCTATCTCCCGTCCCCCTCTTTCAACCAGATTGCTACTACTGAGTTCTTACATCATAGATATCTTGGTATTGGCACTGGGTTGGCACTAATGATTGTCTATCTCGAAAATTCTATTAAAGAGAGAGAGGCAGTGAGTAAGAGAAACAGTTTCATTTCAGGAAACATACCCTAGCATAATTTTGCAGGCAGGAGCATCTCCGCCTGTTCTGTCAGGCCAGTCCACACTGGCAATTACTGTGCAGAATTAAAGAAGCCCTTGGCTACCTGACTTATACATGCAACAAGTTTCTTTTTTATCCTGTTTATCTTCACAATCATCTATTTGTGTCAAGAAAAGAAACATATGAGCACAGCATCTGTTACTAGAGTGACACAATTACCAAATACTTTTATGAGGGAAAAAATCGACAATAAATCTGGGTTAGCTGTCAGGTGTTTTAGGAGACAAAACATTAGTCTTTCAATCATTGTGTCTTGTTTAAGCAGAGCATATGGTGCTAACGGCAGAGAATCACCAGCTCAGCCTGCTTTTGATGGGCATAACGACCACAGAAATGTCACCTCCTCTGAATTGGCAGAGAAAAGCAGGTTTCTTTTTTCCAGCCCAGCCCCTCCCTCTCTATAGAAAAGCAGGTAACAAATGCAAGGGACTTCATTACTGGTTACTTTGTCCCCACTGTTGGAGCCTGTGCAAATCCAGTGACAGGTATGGGAGAGTCCTTGACTTTTCCCAATGACTGAATTTAGATAAAATGTAGTAAGTTCGAGCCAAAACAAAATTCACCATTCAAGGCAATTCATTATTGCTTACTTTCCCACTATTACTGAAACCTGTGTAAACTGAAAGTCTGACTTGGGAAAATCCCTTACTTCTTCTGACAAGTAAATGTAGATAACTAAAGGTGATCATATACATATTGCACTTGTTATTTGCTTTGCTTTTATTTTTCTGCATATAGTCAACAGGTCTATGTGATTCTTTACTCAACATGCCTTAGTTCTATGGGTTAGTCTTCAGATTGGGGACAGAGGAGAGAGAGAGAGAGAGACAGGCGTTAGAGACTGGGCGACCACGTTAGTCTCAGAGGAGTAACTGCTCTATCTAGGGAAGACCCGGACGGATTCCGGGGAAGCCCTGGTATTCTCTGCACCCTGCAGATTCTGCAAACGGGCCAACGCTGGTTTCCAGCCCGCACGTTCCCCCGCGAGGCGCCCAGGTGAGCCCGCCGCGGAGCCGCGCCAGGTGGCCTCGGGCCGTTTACCTGCCAGGCTGCCCGGCCTCTGGAGGGTGGCCGTGGCATACAGCTCCTGCGAGTGCTTGCTGTACTGCTCGGACGCGTGCACCAGGCGCTTGGTGGGCGACAGGGTGGCGTACGTGCCGATGGAGGAGCTGAGCTGGTGGATGGGCGAGGACGAGATGGTGGACTGCACGGTGGGGGGCGAGGTCACGCGGATCGGGGACAGGCCGGCCGAGGACACGACGATGTTGATGGGCGAGCTGGTGCTGTAGGACTTGGCCAGGCGGCTGGGCGACTGCTTGGGCGA